ATTTTTGTTTAAGGTGAGTATTGTGACTTTACATACTGCGAATAGACTTTCTCCGTTACTTGCGAATGTGTTTTCTTTGATTATTTCAAGTGATGCTGATATGCATGTAACACGGAAATATTCTTGTCTTTCAGACTTTGGAGTATGTTTTTGATTTGTACGGGTTCTAATCGTTTCTCTATGGAAGAACGCGGCAACAAAATTCAAGTTGAAAGTCATTTCAACCAGAGAGATACTTTCAGAGAATCTTGAAGTTCTCATCCAAACCGGTTGGTAAAAAGTTTTCCAAAAGCGTTTATTCATTTGTTTTAATAAATAAGGTTAATACAGTTGATGTAATATTATGCCAGCATTACATAATCTCGCATTTTGTGTGTATCCGCACTTCCTTTATTGAAGCTCCTTTGTGAGGTAGAAAGTCAACAAAGCCGCCCCAGATGTAAACAGGATGATGACGTCAGCATATAGATTAGCATGTTAGAGAGAACATGATGTTCCTTTTTTGTCTGTTGATTGTCAGAGAGCCTTTACACCTAAATTAAGCACATCCATTGGCCCACCCCAAATGGCTTAAATTTGCACAATAAAACAGGTTTAAGGTTTTAAATGCATATCATAAACTTCTAAAAGAAAGTAATCCATTATGTGTCTTCCTAAATCCAGGTTAGGGTATAGTTCACCTATCTTGTGTTCACTTCATTGGTTTTCAACGCATTCCGTTTCACCTTTACGCTCCTGTGATTCCGACTGCAAATAAACATGGTTGGATTCAGAGCTGGTGATGTGCCTCCTACAGCCACTGTGAAGTTTATTGGTGCAGGAACTGCAGCCTGCATTGCAGACCTCTTCACATTTCCACTGGACACAGCAAAAGTTAGACTTCAGGTGAGTCTTTGTTGTGTGGAATTGGAGTACTTCGTTTAAAAGACAGTGTTTTTTTTTTGTTGTTTTTTTTTGCTCGAGTGACAGCTGAGCCAGCGGTTGAGTCTGGAAACAACAGACGCACGTGACTACTTGACCCAGATCAACTCGCAGCAACAATAACAAACTAACCTTTCATTTCAGGTGGAATGTTTAAAGTCACACTCATACTGACATCAGCTTTATCTATTTCTCTTGACTCTCTTTACACTAGCAACGTAAGCAGGTCCAGGCCTTGATGATTGTCCTTGCTGACCCAGGATCACTATGGACCCTTTTAAGCTGAAGATGCTGCTTCCCTCCGCTGTGATTCTGTAAAGTTTCTCCATCCACCTTTTGTTCTGTACAGATTCAGGGGGAGACCAAAAGTCCCGCGAACACAGGCCATGGTCCGGTGAAATATCGTGGAGTGTTTGGCACGATCAGCACCATGGTGCGTGTTGAGGGGCCGCGCAGTCTCTACAGCGGGCTGGTTGCAGGACTGCAGCGTCAGATGAGCTTTGCCTCTGTACGCATTGGCCTCTACGATTCCGTCAAGCAGTTCTACACCAAAGGCTCAGATCGTAAATTGTCAAACGCTTGTATGCAGGAATGATTGGAAACTATTTATGTAAGACCTCTCATATTAACACCATTCAATGCATTGTTTTCCTTAGATGTTGGGATTGGCAGTCGGCTGATGGCTGGCTGTACGACTGGAGCCATGGCAGTGGCTTTGGCCCAACCCACCGATGTGGTGAAGGTACGATTTCAGGCTCAGATCAGCGCCGGGGCCAGTAAACGTTACCATGGTACTATGGATGCATATCGGACCATTGCAAAGGAAGAGGGGTTTCGTGGTTTGTGGAAAGGTGAGCCTGGGCCAACTTCGGTCTATAATAGTAATAATAATATTTAATGAAATCCATTGTAATTATTTAATTCTTATATAATAATAATAAATTAATATTATATTTATTTAGTTTATATTCTAAATTAAAAGGTTTATTTATTGTATTAGTATTATTAGAATTTACTTTATTATAAAATATATTATTAATTTATTATATTAATATTTGAGTTTCAAGTGTTTTAATTCCTATAATGAACATTTCTATTCATGACTGAATGGACTTTAAGATGCCTGGATGAGTTTTGATGAGAGCGCTTGTTTTAGAAGCTTCTCTGGGAAATGTGTAATGAAGTGAATGATCAGGTCCCCTCTTTTGGACGGGTTGTTGACTAGTGGCATTCCCTCCCCGGTCACAACCTTGGTGTACTGAGGGCTGTAGTGTAAAGAAATTCAAATGAAACCGTCTTAAAGATGAAAACTACATTCAAAAGTTTTGAGTAACATTAAATGTGTGCTGACTTGTCTATTATTTGACCCGTGTATGCTACAGAGAGAAGGAAACGGTTACTCACTGCACAATGTCATTGATGGGGATGTTGAGAAGCCTGCCATCTAGTGTCTCAACTTCTACTGAGAAACCAATCAAAGCCTGCAGAGTTACCACAAATATAAATATTCAAAATCATATTATACTAAAATATAATTTTGAATAAACTTAAGTGGTGGCTTTTAGAGTGGAACTGTTCATTTTTAACATCATGTTGGTCTGATTGAAAAACCTATCACATATTCAACATGAAAACTAGACCAAAAAAGAAAATATCTTTTGTCATAATCTATTTATCTACATTATTCTACATGAAATAAGGACATTTTTGCTTGTGCTGAAAACAATGTTTTTCACCTTCTCAAGGGAAATGTGTGCTGTGTAGTACAGATTATCATTTTGGCAGTCAAAGCGTGGATGATGCCTTTGGCGTATGACAAACACAATATCTGCTGGGATGCTGTTTGGTCCCTGTGGAGAAAAAAAATTATATTCTGTGATGACCAAGATCAATTTACATACATAATGAAATAAAATTGTGTTTGGTCATACCTGGTCTCCCTCTTTTGAAAATGTGATCCGCGTCCCTTCATTCCATCCTGCTTTTACAGTGAAGGTTAAAATTTTGTCCCTGATGCTGGATGTGTGTCCATCTTCCTTCATGACCTGTATCAAACACATCTCTTCTGAAATTAATTTCTTATGAGTCCATATGATGTATGACAAACACAATATCTGCTGGGATGCTGTTTGGTCCCTGTGGAGAAAAAAAATTATATTCTGTGATGACCAAGATCAATTTACATACATAATGAAATAAAATTGTGATAAAAATGTGTTTCGTCATACCTGGTCTCCCTCTTTTGAAAATGTGATCCGCGTCCCTTCATTCCATCCTGCTTTTACAGTGAAGGTTAAAATTTTGTCCCTGATGCTGGATGTGTGTCCATCTTCATTCATGACCTGTATCAAACACATCTCTTCTGAAATTAATTTCTTATGAGTCCATATGATGTCATTTACACCCCTTTATGCAAAACTTACCCTACTGGATATCTTAATTTTTTTAGTGCATCCATAATAAAGGTCCTCCAAGGCGAGGTGAAGGTCTCTCTCAATTGGTGGATCTTGCAGCTTTTCTTTTTGCCCATGCAAGCTCTTAAAAGCTTTGTTGTCCTCACTGCCATCATTGGTGAAGAGTTCTATGACCGATATTACTAATCAGAGCTGGGATTCTTTAAAACACCAGGACATTATGAATATTTAAGACTTGATTGCACCAGACTGTCTCTTTAAATTTACATTCATAAAATAATACAAAAAGCTAATTCAGTGAAGAAACAACAACACCGCTTTTTCATTCTATAAAAAATAACCTGCAAATGGATTATCTCCACCGAAAAACTGTCTGAACGTTTCATCTGCATTTCCATGGTACACATATCCTGATGACCAGGCGCCATTCACTCCCAGCTCAGACGGGATTCCTCCTTTTAAACCCTCTTCTCCAAACGTATCATATGTGGCCTTTTTACGTGCTGCATTGGATAAAAAAAAAAAAAACAGAAATATAAATGTCCAGCTTACCAGGAAACAAGGAAATGAGGGGCTGTTTTCTTTAACACCATTGTACAGTGATAGTTTGAGATAGTAATACTATGCTGCTTTGATCCAAGTATATATGAAAAATAATGAAACATGACAAATATTTACACGGTACCTCCAAGAATACCATCACAGCAAACGTCAGTATATGGTTTTATTTTGGGGAAACATCTTAACCTTGTATGAACATTCATAAACTTTTATGTGACAACAATAAAAACTTATAGGCTTACACAACGTTCTTTAACTGCTATTGTTAGGTTGTATTTTTTTTTGTTTTGCCAGAACGTTCTAGGAATCAAAAACTAATATCAACCCGTTTATAGCAAGTATTGTAAAGCTGTGTCGCATATTCCAGCGCTGTTGTAGGGTTGTTTTGTGTGTTTTATTTTAGGTTTGTATTCTATATTTTGTCTTGTGCACTTACGGTCGCTCAGTGCGTCAAACGCCTCCGCGAGCAGAGAGAAGAGCTCGGCGGCGCGCGCGTGGCTGCTGCTGCTGCCCGGGTGATGCTTCAGCGCGAGCCGCCGGTAGCTGATACAGAGATAAAACGTCCTCAAAAAGACGGTAAACCATATAATTTTCTGCTTTGTATGCAGTGTATATACATAACACTACTTAGAAACCAAACAACTCGTAACTTACGCCTTCTTTATGTCAGCATCAGTGGCGTTGCGGTTTATTTCCAAAATAGAGTAATAGTCTCTTCCCATGGCCTGTTTATCTGCCCGTTTGGCCCGTTAATCTTTGCACTTTAACCGTATCACTGCACAAATGCAAACCCGAATTTCTCAGTAGGAATGAACATGAGCTCTTACTGTTCAGGTTAGTTTACCGTTGTCAAAAATGGTTATTATGGAAACGGAGCCTGGAACTCTGGGTAATGCAGTCTTTTATAAAACAGCTGCTGAATAATTTTATAAAAATTGAGAATATTGTGATACTGCCAACAACATTACAGCACAGTGACAGAGAGGATGAATTTCAACGCTCCTCAAATTCCTGTTACTGCATTCAAAAGAAGCCAAAAATGCCTAAATATTTACTTTTTTATGAGTTTATTGCTTCACAGATTCATTACAGCACACATGGGGTAGAAAACTGTCTGACATGTTATTTCATATGAAAAACATTTTGAAATAATTTATTAATTATGAATTTTTGCGAGAAGCCCCTCAAGCTCAGGTCTTGTTTTGAACCGGGCTTGATAATCTGCTTCTGTGTGCTGGAAAAAAAAAACATAAAACAAATTAAGCCTTACAGTTTCCATAAAAGTTGATAGGAGTGTCAAATACAGCTAGACAGATTTAAAATAAATATAAAAACAGTGTCAATATGTGTAAGGTGTAATTTTCTGACCTGCTTTACACAAAGTCGCACCCCCTCAGGCTGGTTCTTCAGAACGACTTCCATAAATATGGGGAAAAGTGTTGCCTTCATTTCACTGATCTAAAAACACACCACCAATAAATTGGTTATAGCTGCAGTATACCTATATTAATAATTACATTTAATCAAACAATTTAGTAACTTATTCATATGACCAAACACACACTCAAAGCATTCACCTGAACAATACGCTCATGGGTTTTCAGGACCGCATCTACATACATCTTAGTGCCTTGCTCCTGCATCACCATGACCTCTGTGCTTTTCGTAGGCAGGGCACAGCTTTAAAACATAAAATGAGAGCTCATTCATTTCACCACAACCTAATAATAATTAATAGGATGTAAAATAACATATAGTTGAAAATACATGATCTTGAGAATATGTTTTGGTTTGGGTGCATATTTTCTACATTTTGTAGAAAAAAACTCCCTTTATCCCACCTTTCATCGACTTTGATGTCCAAATGATTGCAGAGATTGTGGATGTATTGGGAATAATGTTCCACTAGAGTCATGTCATAACCGGAAACACACACATTAAACACGCCAAACTCTGTTGCTGTGGCCGCTTTGATCTGCTTCGCTTGAACTCTATCCTTCTTCTTCTTTGGCTGAATAGTAACAATAATTAATTTCGAACATGTTATTAACTGGTAATAAAAACATTTTACACAGATGATGGACAAAACCTTAGGTCTTACCAATGCTTTTGGAAGAAGATGTCTGTATTTTCCAATACCATGTGTGGGCATTGATCTATACTGTCTGTTAGTCAGCAAAACACCTAGTTAGACAAAAAAAATCACTTACAACTGTCAGTTACTTATATTTGTACACACATACATATATGAAAACTAAACATATATCAATAGATATAATGCTCTTACCCAAAGGCATTTGTGTAGTTAACACTTGACTTCTGTGACATTAGAGCAAAAACACTGATCAGTTTTAAAGATCACCATATATATATATATACATACAGACAGACAGGCATCGAAGATAAGGCATCTAACAATAAAATGACACTTACTGAAGCGATGATGCTGCACACAACAGCGCCCGTGTGTTCTGAAGCAATAAAACCTGAAAAAAAAGAATAGCACACACAATAAAATGATGATTGGAAATACAGTAAACTTTGTTTTTTTAATTAAAACACTCTGGTCTGCTCTTCCACTACGACCTTGGCTCATGTCAACAGCATAAACCACTGCAATACACCAACAACTGAGATGCCGTACTGTAAATACTGCACCTTGGTCAGTAACGTGTTCATTGTTTCACGCTAATATTTTAATTCAGCGGTAAAGTTTAAAGACAAGTAGCCAAAATCCGTAATCATCAATCCGAGAGGCGCATGTACTGCGCCCGATCTTCTTCACGGATTTCAGGTGAATCGACGCTCGTCCGGCGCATTGCTGCCGCCTGCTGGAGCAGAAGCGTCACATTTGCGGTTGAAATCAGTATTATTTGTTTTAGTAAGTCTTATTACCCCGCTTAGGAATAAAATATAATGTTGAAAAAACAGAATTCACAAAATTGTCCTAATATTAACCTACTCTACACTAGGTACTTGAAATAATCATAAATAACCACTGACACAGAAAGCAAGCATGCGTGTAATTTATCCTATATTTACATATAATTGTATCATATCTTAAAATTGGCAGCGACAGAGTAATTCAATTCTGGCAAACTCCCACTCAATTCAAGGGTTAACGGAACGCGATGATGCAGGGCAGTGACGCTAGAAACGTGACGTGGCGCTTGCAAAGCTCAACCTAACCTGTTTGGCGCCCCGCCTTGTTTCCATACATACACAAATAACAATTTCATTTCCACAAGCAAACACGTTTTAAGAACTCAAAAACATCACATATGAATATGGATACGAATTAATCAGTTCAGCGAGCCTGTTAAATGTACGTTTTATAAAGTAAAGACATCACAGGAAATGTCAGGAGCATAAATTAAACGATAGTGGTATTGAGACAATATCTGAATAGTTTTAGTGCGATCTAATTAATTATCCTCTACTATGTCATTAGTTTGACAAGAACGACGTGTTGAATGGACGCATGTCATTGTATTCTCTCAAACTCCATAGGCTGAGCTCAGCTGTCAATCACACCTCTGATTATCAAGTTAGGTTGCGGCGCAGACTTGGGCCTGAATAGGCGGCAGAGAGTCTCAAACTGAACCGAATTAGAGCAACAGGGATACTAGCGGCTTTATTTTCTTGTTTAGAGCATTTTGATAGTTATAGCAACACATTCACACCCACATTGGGCCCAGCGGAACCGGCAGCATGTCTGCAACAGGAGATTTCGGCAACCCGCTCCGCAAATTCAAGCTGGTGTTTCTGGGAGAACAGAGCGGTGAGTGTCGAACCGAACCTACTGGTCATGTCTCTTTTTCTTTGTTTGTATATGTGACTCTTATCTGTGTGTGCATGTAACATTATAAGTGAACGTGTGTATCTTGAATTAATTTATTATATTGCAACGTGTGTGTGTGTGTGTGTTGGAATGTGTGTACATATTTGGCAATACCTTTGATAATATGCTTACAATTGTACTGAAACGTCAAAAAACAACTTGTGATTACAGTTGAAGTCTTAACTATCATAAATCAGCCAAGGTTTTTCATTGAAATCCCGTAAATATCGGCTGTTACCATAAAGTCTGGTCTTGAACTGCATGTCATATTCTTTTCATAGCATGATTTTGTCTGTCTCCTGCGTAAACATGATCTTTGACCCTGTGTTTTGCTGACATGCTGAAATTTTCTGGATCTTCTAACAGTTGAACACTCGCATTTAAACTCAGGAGAACTTGTGTGTCTTCATAAGATATAAACGCCAACACTTACTAATAGATACCACTGAAGTCTCAGTATGAGGATCCATTCCTCTTTCTGAGATATCTGGCCCTGACACATGTGGCCTGTCAATCTCATATAGTGCTAGTCAAAAAAAAATCACTGGTTCCAGAATTCAACAGTATGTCAGGACTGGGTTCTTTGTAAATTAGCTATCAGTATAAAGCATAAACAAAGATCACGTGGCATTATTTTTTAAACTTTAATAAGACTAAACGTGTAAAAATAGCTTGGACTTTTCCTGGATGTCTAAACATTTGAATAGTAAAAAAACATCGCACATGTTCAAACTGTTTGCATATATTTACATAAACACTGATGCATGTGTTTATTTCACATGCGTTTTTTCCGGTTAATCTATAGCAATTACCCTGCATGTTTCAGTCATGTGAGAAGAATCTGATGTGAATCCGAAATGAATGTGGACAGATTTATGCATTCATACAGACCTGTTCTTTAGTCATTTTTTTTGTTTTGTTTTTAAAGTTATGCTTCTGAAATGAAATCTATTAGCATGTGAGTTTCAAATGTTAGGTGTCTCAAAGGATGGACTTACATGAAATGGACATTTAATTTGTGTAACTGGTTGGATCTTTTCCTTTTAGGAAAATGTATTGGCAATAAAAGTGATGATCATTGATGTAGAAATGTCTCTGGAAAAAAAAAATTGGCATACAAGTCACAACTTCACAAGAATGTAATAAAGATATGTAATGTTGATAGTTACTAGTTAATTCTGTATTTAATTTTGCAGTGGGAAAGACATCATTGATTACCAGATTTATGTATGACAGTTTCGATAATACCTACCAGGTGAGTGAAGATTTTTCTGACTCTGCAACTTTAAACAGTGTTCTGATTTGTTTGGATGTTTTTAATCAGATGCATGGATTAGTGTATTTTATCCTCAAAGTTTCATTTCCTTGCTTTTATTTTCAGGCCACAATAGGAATCGATTTCTTGTCGAAAACAATGTATCTGGAGGACAGAACAGTAAGTAAAATGTTTTTTTGTTCTAACAGTAAATTCGCATGCCCTTTCAATGTTTTAAAGATATTAAATCTATAAAAAATATAAGTTCTGTAAAATAATTTTACCAATGTGTAAATGTCTGGGATGCTATTGATTGATGACTGAGGGATTTGTTTGGTTTACATTGATCAATACTTTTTGACTGCACAATATGTCATTTTTAAAAACATTTTAAAGTCATTTAACATATTGATTTTAGTCAAACTGCAATGTTTTTATACTGTTGAAAGAACAATACTGTTACATTATGTTTAGTGTGTTTTTTGTTGTTGTAATTTTATTATAATTATTTTAATTTATAAAACTGAGTTTAGCATGAACTTCGTTGCTGATATGCTGAACATAACCTTTGCTGCTGATATGGTGTTAAATCAATGATTGAATAAATAAATAAACAATGATTGTAATGCATTCTACTTTACATCTACTTGTAGTTAACTATCACTATTATTATAGAAAATAATTTAAATTGATTTGACACATTAACGTTTGGTTCTTCTTATGACATATTATTATAATTGCATTATGCATGAAATTAATTCTGCATCATATTTTTCTCCTTTTCTTTGTTGAACATTAATTTGAACATTTATATTGTGATGTGTCTGTAAAAACCCAACATAAACTGCACCATGAGAAACTCCTGTGCCTTCTTCCCCCTGCTGTGTCTCTTTCGCTCTCTCTCTCTCTAGTTATTTGTTCATATGTGTATGTTTCCTTCTGTAAAGAATTGTTCTTTTTGATTGGTTTTGAGCTGGAAAGTTTTACTCTGAAGATCTGCAGTCTTGATAGCATAACACAATCCTAACCCATACCATAACCCTGCTAACGTGAGCCCATCTGAAGACTCATAACTTAATCCGTTCCCTAGCCCAAATCCTGAACTTGAGAATTTTTTCAGTCCACTTTGCTTTTTCTTATTTCTTACATTTCATTCAACTCCTTTTTTATCTATTATTTTCCCCTTGAATGTTTCATTTTCCCCCTTTTTTCCTTTATTCTCCTCCTTTTGTTTGTTCTCCATTCACACAGATCAGGCTGCAGCTTTGGGACACAGCAGGACAGGAGCGTTTCCGTAGTCTCATTCCCAGTTACATCAGAGACTCTGCTGCTGCTGTTGTAGTTTACGACATCACAAGTAGGTATCTGAGACCCGCTCTGCGTCCAGTTCCCCTCCTCTTACCTCTTCCCCTTTCTCCCCCACTCTCTCTCTCTCTCTCTCTCTCTCTCTCTATGCTGGATCTCTGGTTCTAAAATATTTGGCCAGGTGCGGCTGCAGCTTTGGGACACAGCAGGACAGGAGCGCTTCCGCAGTCTGATTCCCAGCTATATCCGGGACTCTACGGTTGCCGTGGTAGTCTATGACATCACAAGTGAGTGTGGATCCCCGCCAGGAAAACTTAAGGAAGAGGAAAGCTGTCTGTCATCTCAACGCAGTCTCTCTTTTTCTGTTTCACATCCTTTGTGTTTCTATGTGATTTTATTCTCTTTGTCTTCTTTTTTGTAACTTTTTTTTGTAATTGCAATTCAGTGCACCTTTTCAGTGGGCACCTTTTTTATATTCACATTTAAAGATGAACAGTTCCACACTTTCCTGTAGCTGCTAATGAAACGATAAAAACAGCTAAGTTATGCCATTTTCATAAAGACAGAAACATTTTTTTTAATTATTTATTTATTTTTTTAAAGAATGCAACGTACAGTTTAATGGGCAATAAAAATATAAATGACCAGTACATTTTTGGCAGTTATGGCCGAAAGTTAATTTTACACCCGCAACACTCAAAAGTTCCTAATAACATTTTCACTAATCCAACCATTGCTTTTTAAACCATTATTTTTAGCAACGCATTTTTATATTTGCTAAAAATATATTTTTTGTTAAATATATTTTGTTCATATAAAAATATTTGAATTATTTATAAAAAAAGAATATGCATTCTTTCGCCATTTTTATGTTGATGAGAGATGATTTGTCTATTTCTTTTTTAGATGAACTCTTTCTGCAGACCAAGTTCCTGTGACGCATTCATGATAACAGAGACACTTCCAGCTATTTAACTTCCTAGTTTCTTTCCTCTTATTTTATCCCTGTGTTTTTTTTTCTACCTGCCAGTTGTGTCTCCCTGTGTATGATCCTGGGATTCTCCTATAGACCCCCTGATGCTTATCTTGATTATTAACCCAGTGTTTCTGAAATCCCCCCGACAGATGTCAACTCATTCCAGCAGACCACCAAATGGATCGATGATGTCCGAACAGAACGGGGAGGTGATGTCATAATCATGCTGGTGGGAAACAAAACAGACCTTGCAGATAAAAGGTATGTTTAAATGGTTGTTTGGGAAGATTATGACATGGTTTGTTACACTGCTATGAAATGGTGTTCAACATATATATATATATATATATATATATATATATATGTATATATATATATTTATATTATTATTTTTTTTAAAGAAATTAATACTTTATTCCAGGGTGCATTAAATTGATAAAGTAATTTATTTTATTTTTATTTCAAATAAAGGCTGTTCTTTTGAACTTTTTATTCAAGAATCCTGAAAAAATGCATCATGGTTTCATGCAAAAAATATTAAGCAGCACAACTGTTTTCAACATTCATAACAATAAATGTTTCTTGAGGAGCAAATCAGCTTATTAGAATGATTTCTGAAGGATCATGTGACACTGAAGACTGAACGAATGGCTGCTGAAAATTCAGCTTTGGCATCTCAGGAATTAATTACATTTTAAAATAGATTACTATAGAAAACAGTGATTTTAAATTGTAATAATATTTCACAATATTACTGTTTTTACTGCATTTTTGATCAAATAAATGCAGCCTTTTTGAGAATAACAGACTTCTTTCAAAAACACAAAACCTTACAGACCCCAAACTTTTGGTTAAGGTGATGTGTGCACACAAAATTGCTGCAATAATTTTATTTGATGCAATATTTACATACAATTTACTAAACAGTAATGCATCTATTGACAAAGCACCTTTTTTTTTTTTTTATGTCACAAACTAGTACTAATACTCTATTAATCTGCGCAAAATAGGCAAATATTAATTATTACATATAATCATTTCAGGCAAGTTTCTATTGAGGAAGGAGAGAGGAAAGCCAAAGAACTGAATGTAATGTTTATTGAAACTAGCGCTAAAGCCGGATACAACGTCAAACAGGTGAGTGTGACAGAGATTTGACTTAAATCAAAAGTAGAAATATGTGCTTTAATGATTTATTAAATTTATATTTGCATGATTATTAAAAAACAGCGTTACTGAACATTGCACTCATATCAGTGTCTTTAAAAGATGATTTCCAGATGATTAAATATTCAACTTTTCTGAATGCAAACACCCCCACACACTGCTTGTTTTTTCTGATCCTGGTGTGAGAGTTTAATAATGGGGCTTGTGTTTCTCTCGTCTAGCTTTTCCGGCGTGTAGCAGCAGCTCTTCCTGGTATGGAGAGCACACAAGACAAGAGCAGAGAAGACAGTATCCTACACGCATATGTGCATAAACTTACATATGTAATTGCGCACTTGCAATCACTTGTTTTAGTACCCGATTGTCCATCTGTATAAATTTTGCAGTTTAAACAAACACACTACAAAAAACTTTGTATATTTCCTTAATTCCTTTTTCCTTCAGTGATTGACATAAAATTGGAAAAGCTGCCAGAGCAGCCAGTCAGCGAAGGTGGCTGTTCATGCTAAGGGGTCAGTCGACATTTCTGTGCTGTGTCTCTTATTGACGCTCTTTCAGACGCTCTTAGTCGCACTCAGCATCTCTCTGGATTTTCTGCAGAAGCTCCGCCCACCTGGAGGGAGTAGAACACTACCTGTCCGTCACCCTCATTACCGTGGTTACCACTGACCCACTCAAATGACTTTAAAGGGGTCATATGATGCGATTTCAAGTTTTCCTTTCTCTTTGTAGTGTTACAAGCTGATTGTGCATAGATAAGATCCCTGAAGTTGCAAAGACTAAAGTCTCAAAACCAAAGAGATATTCTTTATCAAAGTTAAGACCCTGCCACGCCCCCCTAAAACGGCTCATTCTAACACGCCCCCACATATCTACCCCACTATGTGGAAATATTTGCATAATGCACCCAA